TGCTTTAAAACACTTTGAATCCGTTATGTTAGTTTCAAATATATTGCAATACCTATAACATCCGCCACAATCATCTCAGCTCTCCTAGCAAGTTCCAAATTTTTTAACGTTCATTTATTAAGCGTGAATAAAGTTTATATTGGATAATTTTTGCATTATTTAACAATTTCCAACATCAGCACATTTAAAAACAATAATAAATAACTGTCTTTGTAAAAAATACTTCCTTCGAAATAACAAAAATATCATAAATATTTGAAAATCGAAGAAATTTTATCTCACGGAAATGAGTAATAAAAAGTATAACAAAATATTGTTATTCCCAGATGTACCAATTTTATTTATTGAAAACCCTTGCATATTATAATAATTTGAATTTCCTAACAAAATGTGTTTTACTAGTGTATAATAAAAATATTGCTTTGTAATACAATAATTAAAATAAAAACTCTTGTTAAACACAAAAATTTTATCTTCCTAATAACATGTGTTTTACAAGGGCGTAATAAAACAACACTTTGTTTAATAATACAATTAGACCACAAAGGCAAAACAATCTACCATCAGGTAGCTAGCCACGTGTCATTTTAACATGGGAACTCCGTCAATTGAAAAAAACATTTGTCGCAGGTAAATCACGAAATGACCTACAAGATTATTTGTTAAATAAAAACATTCTAATCTTAAACATGGGATATTTGGGTAACTAGAGCATTAATAATGCAGGTACTTCTGCAGATGTTTTATATTTTGTGTTAAAAAATACAACAATTTTACTTGTCGCTGAATGTAAATCATGAATATAAAGTACCTACACTATATATCACATAAAATAATATGTTAAGCGTTATAAAATATTTTTTATTATAAAAAACTAAAAAATATTCTATACTGATCATGTATTATTTCGAACACTAAACGCTTAACTTTGATTTTTGGTTCTTATTTGCACGCGTTATAAAAACCTAACTCAACATAAGAAGCCTTTTGGAATATAATTGTATTTGCAATAATCGCCTAACTCGAGATGAGTTTAAAAAACCACCAATTATTATTTTACACATATCGCTTATGTCGAGTTAGTATTTAAAAAAACTCAAAATTAATTTTGCAACAAAAGCTTAACTCGAGATAAGCGGTTATAAAAATTCATATATGAAAAAAAAAATGTCACCAATATTGATTTGCAACAATAGCCTATCTCGAAATAAGTGGTTTGTCAAAAACATAAAAAAGATGTTTTCTGCTCCTAACTCGAAATAGGCGGTTAGTGCAAGTGCACATAGCTACCATTTCGAGTTAGGTCATGTGTGAATTCGACAATAACTCCGGCTACAACAGTCGTAGAACCACCAAATTTTGTGAGCATATGAAACTCAAAGCGGAGAATTCGCTGGTAAACATATCTCATTTTTGTCTTAACTCGAGTTAGGCGGTTTGTGTTTGAGGCCACTGATATAATACATACACATATAAGTGCATATATGAATATACATATATATACATATATGTAGTTTTGTACTCTGACTTTAAAATAATATTAAAAATTACTTTCCCAAATAAAATAATTCTTCAATATCTCTACTTATAAATCAAATCCAAAAAAAGAAATATGTACTTTTAATACATACAATCTAATGTAACGAGAAACATACATACATACAATATTAAATTTTAAATACAGACATATAGGTATGTAATACATATAAATATTAAAAAATTTATAATGTTAATTTTATTTTTTATCAATAAAATAGCAAAAAAAAAAAAAATGAATAAAAATTATAATTTTAATTCTCCGTTTCACTTTGAAAATTTTTTTTTTTTTTTTTTGGGAAAAGAAACACATTAACTAACAACCACGTAATAAATAGTGCTGATAGGTAGACCATTATTTATCAAAAAAAAAACTATAATAAATAATAATAAGATTTTTGGTACACGTTTAATTATTGCTCATATATAATATGTATGTATGTATATTTTTTTCCTTCATCATTGATTTTACCTCATCTTTTTTCCACCTCGCCTAATTTTAAGTACAATTTTTAGATAGAGGTAAATACACCTTTTTCTTCTCCATAGATCTTTGAAAATCTAAAAGCAAAAAAACAAAAAGAAGAAATTATTATTACTTATACAATTGTTTTGTTGCCCATATTAAGTTTATATATAAAAACATACACACATAAAAACATACATATGTAAAATACTTAACGCATAGTGCTTAAACAAAATCACCCACACTAAATATTCGAACAGAGAAGAACAAAAATTTAACAAGTATCTAATAATTTTGCTTAAGATTCTTTCAAAAATTAAAATCTTAATAATGATGATTATAATAATAATACATGATGATGATGATGTTGGTATTCAGGATCATAATTATAATTTAGAAATTATGATAATGAATTAATTAGATTAACTATTAAGAATTTCCTATTACAATCAAAATTAAAGTAATAGATAAAATTTTATTAATAGAAGTGGAATGTATACATAAGCAAATATCATGTTCCTTATATGGCACCAATTGAATTGTTATCGCCACCATAGATCACATCTACATTTTTAAAGTATATTTTTTCTTATAATCAAATTGAGATAATAAAGATTAGATGTAACTATTTCTTATTTCATAGTTTACTTCTATTTTATGTGCAATAGTTGTTCATACCTAAAATTAAAGGGATAGTAATTAAAAATTAAAAAATTCGCTGTACGAATATTTAAAAAAATATCTATAAATATATGTACATATATTCAAAAATAATTGTACGCTAATAAATATATACATACATAATGAAATAATATGGCGTAAAATGTTATATTTTTCGGCCTGTATCGAACAAAAGAAATATCAAAATGTGTATGCGAATTTTCAAAAGTTAGTACTTCCAAAAGAGTTAAACGATTTTAAGGCACTGACTAGAAACTTACTAATTATACACAAAAATTTTTATTTCACAAGAGTTTCGCAGCAAAAATGAAGTTTTTAATCTGCTCATAGCCATTTGAATCGTGCTATACCAGTGGTGTAACAATACAAACCTTTAAAAAACCTTAAACATACATATACGAGTAAAAGCATAAAGAAAGCTAATAATCCTGTAAAGTTATTCCCCCCTTGTTTATGACCATATCTGTGAATTTAAATTTAAGTGAATGCTCTATAAAGTACTTTAAAAATTAATTTTTTTTTGTTTTCCAATTGTTATTCTTATATAATTCTAATTTATATTTTTATTTTTTTAGTTCAATTAATTTCAGTTCAGACACCTTTTTTTTTCTTATTTAAATTTTTTTTTTTAATTCTTTTTGGATTTTCTTACCATTTATAAAATGTGATTCTTAATAGATTCTATACTGTATTTATAATAAGTTTTGAATTTATTTTTTTAAGAATATTTTAAATAAATTAATTTTAAAATTTGAATTAAAGAAATATTGCTATGTTGTTAAATTTTCTGAATTAATTCATCATCACCATCAGATTATATTTTATTACCGAACTCAATTCAAAAATCATCAAATATAAAAAATGATATTCTAATTTTTTGGTAAGTAATAAGATTTAGAGCATTCATCTTGAATTATTATTAATATATTTGAGGTATCTTCCTAAAAGTATAAAATAAAAGAAAAAGCAGAAAGTATGTAGGTACCTACTTAAATATGTGAGTTGGATTAAAAGTTCATAATTGAATAATCAAGACAGGAAAACCAATTCTTTTTTTTTGTATTCATTGCAGGATTAAAAGTGTCTTAAAACCTAAAAAAAAATATCAAATAAATAAATGAATAAATGAATTGACATCGTGCGTGCAAAAGATTTTATTACGGTGCTTGTCTGGTGTATCATAGATTATTTACACATTGTTTGGCTGGTAATATAAATGAACAATTGTTGGAATTTAACTAATAACACTTACTCAAATAAAACTATGGACTAAAATAGGTTATATTAATCTTGAAATCCGTAATATTAATTAGAATAGTTTTTCCGAAAACCAAATTGAAGAACCAAGAATCCAATTTTATGGAGAGTATACACAATATGAGAGGGAATTGAAAATGTTATTCAAATCTTTGCCGGATGTTTATTATTTTCTCTATTGCCATTTCTGATTAAGATAAAAGAAATTATTTTCTTAGAATTATTTCGAAGCCTTTTTTAATATTTTATAAGACAAATGAACATTTATAAGACAAAATCATTTGAAAATTTGTATTGGCCCCCTTGTTTGGAAATGCAAATATGTACATACACACATATGTAAGTACATACATACATATATATAATCGAATACAAAATATTTGTAAATTATGAAGTACAAAATGATAATTGAATTGATTTGAGTGATTTGAAATAAAAAAGCGTATTAGAATAAAAATTTTGCTTACCTTGATTTTATATGCACATGCATTCAGATGTACAAACTTATGTGCATATCTAAGTACTAAGTGTTGTATTATCTTCATTAATTGTATATTTCGACTCGAATTTGTAAAATTTTAAATATGTAACTTGAAAATTTATCAATTTAATACGTGCGAAATAGTTTTAATCTTTAAAAACTTCCAATATAAATAATTGTAGCAAAAATTCTACAACAAATTTTTCGGGTAAATTCACTTTTAAAATTTATTTGAATTTGTTGCTTGACAGTTTGACACAAATCAACCATATAGGCGCCAGATTAAATGACATAATATGCAGGGATAGGTTGATACCTGTAGATTATTTTATTGCTACTATGGTAATATAAAAAAGGGTTGCTTTTGTACAAGAAAAAGAAAAAATTATTAATTACGTTTCCTTTCGAGAAACAAACACAAAATTATCTTGTCTTAACCGTTAATGTTAGAATTGTTGTGTACTATTTTCGCAGTTATTACCATCATCACACATAAATAGGCAGTCACTAGACACTATTCATTAGATTCTATAAGAAGAAAACACAAAAAAGTTATTAATTTTATGAATCGGAGAGAATATGAAGTTATCCTTGGAAGAATGTCATATACGAAGTTTTTGTGAAGTAATGGCTTATATTTTATATTTTTCACGATATAAGTCAGAAATTGTAAGACTTTTGAAATGTCAAAAATTGTTGCCGAAAGAGTTATTACATCGATTATGCAAAACAAATTGATATACATTAGACATATGGCAATTGACAATATAAAAAATATTTTCCATCCAAAATTGAAAAAAAGCTAAGTACACATTCTTAGAATCTCCAATTTTATTTTAAATTTTCGCAGTTATATTCATTTACTTATTTCATTTTGTACTATGAGAGCTATTTTTTTTTAAAGTAAAAAATATGTATAAGCAGAAAAAAACAAAATTTATCATAATTTGTTTTAATTGAATAAACGCAATCATATTTGGTACTTACCAAAGTGCCTAATATTTTGAAAGAACATTGTTTCACAGGTCTACGGTAAACAATAACTGGGAAAATGGGAATTCGTTGCAGAGTTACAAAAAGAACCCTTCTGAGAACTTTCCGTGAAGTTTTAAAAAAAATAGTTTAACAATTAATTACTAGTTTCAAAGTTTTGGTCCAAAACAGTAGTTTTTAAGCGATATTAAATAATTTGCATTATTTGTTGTCTTTTTCATTTCATTTCAATGAAAAGTATTCTAAAAAATTTTGTGGTAAACATTATATTTAATCCTTGATAAATAATTTATTCTACTTTCATATTTATATTTTAACTATTTCTAACTTAGTCAATTTATATTAATTTTGGTTACAGGTAAACAAAACATATAATGCTGCCGATCTGGACGCATTTATGAAAATTGCAGCAAGCTGGCAGAACAATACGCTAGCTGAGGATTTTGGTTCAAGTGGAGGAGGAGGTGGAGGGGGTGGGGGAGGCGGTAAGTTAACATCATTAGTTAAGAAATATCTAATTGTCTTAAAAACATAGCTAAATAAACTCAACATGCTTTGACAATAAAAATATTTTAAACTGTATTTACATATACATATAGATAGATATACTTATGTAGATTGAAAGTATTTACATGTGTATACGTTACACGTATACATATACGTTAATTGAAAATTCCAAAAAATTCAGAAGTTTTAAATAAAAAATTATAGCAAATAACACTATTTTAATCTAAGTAACTCCCTCTACAACTGCATTTTGAAACAACTAACTATTTTTATTAAAAAATTACATCAAAAAGAAAAAACATTAAAGAGCTACAAATTTTAACAGATATGCAGAATTATTTGAACCCTGCCATGAACATGTACAAAAAACGTGAACGGACACAGAATTGGAACCACCAAGAAAAGAAATTTCTTTTGGAACTGTGCAAAAAAGATATGAGAATAATTGAAAATAAGAGACTGGATGCTGGTTTAACAGCAGTTAAAAATAAAGCTTGGAAAATAATACACCAAAAATTTTCAGCTGAATTCGGTACAGATCGTACATGTAACCGTTTAAAGGAGCAGTGGCGACGGATGAAAGGTATTCAATTTAATCTCGTCCATTTACATTACATTTTATTAACATATCAGTCATTTTACATAAAATTCTATTGAAAATCTGTCATTTTATTAAAATTCTTTCAGCATGTACAAGGAATGAAATATTGGACTATAACAATCGCGTTCAAAGATATGGCCAAGAAGCTGCTGATCGTAAAAAACCATCTCCATTTACTTTTGAAATATGGGAATTTATGCAAGAGGCTAAAAGGCAATGTAAAAGTGAAGCATTAGATGGAGTTGATTATTCAAAGATGCCATTGAAATTAGAAGAAGATTTCGAATTTAATGAGGCTTTAGCAGACAAAGATGACAATGATAGTGAAGAGTAAGATTAATTTTTAATTTTTAATACATGTTCGAAAATAGCTCTTTTTGTGTTTCAACAATTTTAGCAATTAATTTTTCAATTAATTAATAACTTAAAATACGTTATAAAAATATACGTTGTTTAGTATACCTAAATCATTTATATACGTACATTTGCAGGCAAAAAATTAACGAAATACATATTAAAGAGGAAAATGGTGATGCTGAAGATAGTGATTGTGAAAATGATGGTAGCGGAGGTAGCCGACATAGCATCGGTCGTCCTGGTTCTGTTGACAGAATGTCTTCCACCCCACCAAATAATTTAGATGAATCGACAAACGGTATTAATAGCGGTGATTTAACGAATAATCAAGCAATGAATAGTTTTCAACAAGAAAATAGTTTATCAAATTCATTTAATATAAGCAATATTGCATCAACGTTAGAGGCATTAAATGCATTACGAAATAATTTATCAATTAATCCATTAAATAATGGTAATGTAAATCATTCGAATGGCAGTGGTGGTGGTAGTATCAGTGGTGGTAATGGCGGTAACAATAGTGGTAACAGTATTTTAAATGGTTCAATTTCACATGATGGTCAACCACAATCTAAAAGACAACGTCGGCAATCTAATTTTATTGATGAATCACCACAAAATGGGACATTAATAACAAATGGAAATATTAATAATAGTATTGGTACACAATCAACTGAAATGAAAATATTTATGGAAATGCAAGCGAAAGAGCATTTATTACGTATGCAAATATTAGAAACTCAATTACAAGCGGCCAAATACAGTCGTGATATAGTAGAAATTAATAAAAGTATAGCATTACAAAAATTACATGATATTGCAAATAGGCGCATGAGTTAAATTTATAATAAGAGTTAAAATAATTAATAATGCAAAAGTTAAAAGTAAAAACAAAAAAAAATATATAAATAATGAACAAATTATTCAAATAAAATAAAAAATTAAAATTAATGAAAATAAGAATTTCTTACTATATTATTAATTACATGTATAATTTATATAAAACAAAAATACTACTTATATCCATACTTAAATATAATTTTTTTTTACTTTTTAATTTATAATTCAACCAAGAGTAATTTAAATGAATTTTACTTAAGAGTTTTTTCAAATTAATTTTATATCCATATATAGAATTGTTAGTTATTACACACCTACCGATTTTGAGTGCTAGTATTTAAAATAGGTAGCCCAGTAATTTTTAAATTTAAGTATAGTTTACCATAATATTAAAAATATATTTTTAATTACTTAACAATAGATTAAGTTAATCTTAAACACTTTTTATAATACAGATTAATAGAAATTTCTTTCTCAAGATACAATTATAATATAAAAAATTCAAAAATATTAAAATTGGAATTTTTGATAGTTTAGTTTTTTTGAAAATGAGTTGTTTTTTTCTCAATACAAAGAAGTTACGTTTTTTTTGTAATAAGACCCAATCTTTTAATTTGTTTAAATAAAACAAAAATTTAAAGAAAATGTATTGCTAATTTTATAGTCGGTCTGTTATACATATATTCATTATAATTTAAAAAAAATATAATTTTCTCAAATAAGAAAATGTTGATTTCATAAAAAATTTCCTTTCACAATAATTCAGTAGTTTCTTGATTGTTCTATATAATTTTGAATACTTCAATTTTAATATTTAAATTGATTTTCATAAGTATAACAACCTAAAATAGTTTTGTGTTTGAGAAAAAATATGCTGCCGCCACAAATTAAAATCTAACCCAGCTTTTTTCAGTATTCATTGATATTTTTGGCTATGTTTTTTTTTTGTTATTACTTTGAAAGTTATGATTTAAAATTCATAAAAGCAATTAACTATTAGGATTTTATATTTAAATATTATATTTTTAAAAAGAGAGAATTAAAAATAATATATGAAACGCATTCCTATAATAGACAGTATTCATATTATAATGAAAATTCTTTTAATTTTCCAATTAAGATTTTTAAATAAAATTGTCTTTTTTTTGCTTAGCTTTTATTTTTACATACGTATTAAAGAAAAAATTCTAAAATGAATGAAATAATAAAAATGTACATATTATTATAGTGAAAGTAACTCAAATATAAAATAATCCAAACTATATTATATTAATAATAAAAAAACGAAAATTGAAAAGGCAAAATAGGAACTATAACCTTAAAAATGAAAACCAGAATAATCTCAATTGATATACTTAAATAATGTTATTATATAATTTTAATTAATTAATTAAAAATTTTAATTTTTAAATTGTTAAGTTAAAAATTTATTTTATTTTTTTTTTTAAATTTTCGTTAAATAAATTTGATTAAAAATTTATTGCTCATTGATTGTTATAAGAGAACTAAGTATTTAAAATAAATGAAAGAAAATAATCAAATACATAGGAAGTTTTATTAATTAAAAAATAAACAATTTAGAAAATAATTTCCAATTAATGTGTTTTTTTTTTCTTTAGTTCTTTTATTAAATTAATTACGCTATGATTTCATGAAATTCTTTTTAGTATATCTTCATGAAATGTAAAATAAATATCGTAGCAAAAAATAAATAGTTCTCTTTAAAACACCAAAAAAACACCAAAAACAGATACCCATAAATTAATTGTTTTTGCTTTCAGTTTTTTATAGAACCATAATATGCCTATTAACGTGCCAAATTATTAAATTAAGTAGCATATTTTATTTAAGTTTGTGAAGTTTTTAAAAGTTTTGGTAATTGTATTAAACAATCAATTCATAAAAAGTATTAAACATTCAATGAGTTAACAGAGAAGAAGAAATTAACATTTTTTTTTATGAATTCGTTTACAAGTATTTTTTTTATTTGATTTTATGTGCCTATATTTATAATTAATAAAAAGAACAAAATTTTATTATTTTTGTTTATTTATTTTTTATTTGTACTTAATAATATTCTATTTTTTAAACGAAAAATAAATATGGTATATTTTATTTGTAAATTTTAAAATTTTTAAAATCCTCAGTGGGTGGTACTTTTTATTAATAATATTTTGAGTTAGAAGAAGACTGTTCCAAAAATTTATACATAAATTGATTTATTAGAACAAAAATTTGGAAAATTTTTTATAATAGACGCTAGCGTTAAAATAAGTTAGGAAATTTTATATTCTGTTTTATATTCTTTTAGTCAATTAGGTATATTAAATTTAAAATTAAATACATTACATGTATGTATATGTATGTAAAATAAAAGGCGAAATAAAAAAATACAGAATTAGTTTAAAATTATTTGTTATTTCGAAAAGCAAATCTTAATTACTATTTCATTATTATTTTAATCAAATATTAAAGTTTTTTGTTAGTATTTTGCGAAATTTTTACTTTGAATTTGAAATTTGAAGTCAAAATTCATATATATACATATGCATTCAAAAATATCGGCAAAAATATTTAATATTTAAGTTTTTAAAATAAACTTATTTTGGTGAAGAGTTTCAAAACTCTAAAGTATTTAATTTTAAATAAATTAAAGATATAAGTTAAAAGTTAAAGATTTAAGTTTTTAAAATAAACTTATTTTGGTGAAGAGTTTCAAAACTCTAAAGTATTTAATTTTAAATAAATTAAAGATATAAATGAACTAAACTTCCACAATAATAGACAATATTTTTGAACGCATGTATCACCCGACTGTGAGGCTGCACATACAAAAAAAAGAAAACAAAAATTAAAAGATATTATAGTTAATTTTGTAGGACAGTATTTTAAATATTAAAGAAAAACAAAATTAAATAAAACATATACAATTTAATACTATTAACTATTACGTATATAATTATTTACTAACATACGAATATAAATGTATAAAATAAATTATAAAATATATAGAAGTTTAGATAAAAAAGTAGTTTTTCCTTTTAATATTATCAAGCCAAAGTAAGGTTAAACAGGAAAATATTTTTGAAAATTGAATTTTCAACATAAATACCCGCTCAGTATTTATTTCGTCTGTATATTTGACTAATTATTTTTATTATTGCATAAATTATATTACACATTATACAACCTACATAAATTTCCTTATTGTTCTCTATTTCAAATTGTAAAATTTAAAAAAAAATTCTTTAAATCTCATATTCGAAGTTTATTAATTTGGACTTTCATAACAAAACAGAAGAAAATTTCATTCCAGGGTGCATGTCAGTTTTTTTTTTTCATTGAATTTTTCATTTTATTTACCATCTGAACTTATTAAAACAGGTAAAATCCAAATTTATCAGTTTTTCCATTATTTAAATTCCCATAATTTTTGAGAAATTATTTTAAATAGCAAATTCATTTTTAATTTTTCTCTGTTCTTTAAAAATTTTAAACAATGAAAACTGTTTGGAATATAAAAATTTCGCTCTATTATCGAGATTATCATAATTGATAAACATTAAAAAACGTATTTGTTTTTCAAAGATTTTTATACAAAAAATTAACAATAATAATTGATCTATAATTTATAAAACATGCCTAAATAGAAAAATTCATCACATTTTACTTTTAGCGTATTTACTAGCTTTATCTATTGCAATTTCTAATTGATCTTCGAACATCGGTGATATAACACGTTTAGCTTTCATATTGCAAACTTCACTAGAATTTCGTCCTTTAGGTGGACCAATTTGAGCATTAAAAATGCAAGCGAATTCATTCAACCACAATTTAGCATTAAATTCAGAGTTTATTAAATTCTGAAATAAAAAAAATTAATGTTTTTTTTTTATCATAATAAATATTTAAATTGATACCCTAGGTACACAACATCTAGCTCGAACCATACTATTGTTTAATGATATTACCATAATTGGCCGATCTGTACATAATTTTGTTGCTTTTTGCAAAGGAACTGATTCTAACAATGTTGAACTATCTAAAAAATGTATAACGAATGGTTCATTCCTTTGTTGCTTTAATACGGTCTGCATTTCAATATCAACAAATTCTCTGCAGGAACAAAAGCACTTAATTTTTTTAAAATATTTTTTAAAAAAATAGTTTTACTTTACTTACTTTAATGTTATTCTAGCTGAGTCTTTTATTTTCTTTAATATATTATTTATTTTTTCAGACAAATCTATTTTAAATAAGTATGGAAGTGTTGTATTTGAATGGAGTAACTGATTTTTAAGTCTCTGTAATTCTAATTCTACCAAAATATGTTTGTCTTGTTCGGCTTCCAATTCTGTTTGAAGCTTATTTACCCTTTTTTCATATATCTTGGACAAATTTATTATCTAAAATCAAAAAAGGATCATGTTAAAGTATAAATTTTACTAATATAAACAAAATCATCTATTTATACTTCATCAGCTAAATTTCCAGCAACAGCTGCAAAGGCATATCTAGCACGATTTGTTTGCTTAAAATTTGTGATACAAAAATTTTTCAAGTCCTTCGTATTGTGTATATGAGTACCACAACAAAGCTCTTTTGAAGAAAATCCAAAATTATTATCTATAATTTCTAATAAGCGTAAACCATCTTCAGGATATATTTCCCCAGGTACTAAAGTAATATCAGAGTGATATATAACATCTTCTGCTTTTGTTTTTATTGTGGTAACAGCCACGCCATGTGATATTACATTTCTGTTCAAAAGTTTTTCAAGGTGTTCATAAATAAGATTTTTAAAAACTGAATAAAATTAGAACTAGAATTTTAAAGTTATTATTAGCTTATTTGCAGAGTTTCGTAAAAAGAAATTTGAAGCGCCAAAAATTAAAATAATTAATTTTGAAAACAATTTTAAAAATATTAGAACCTTATCAATTCTTCTATGCGTGGTAAGTCATCTCTGTCAATTTTTCTACCAATTACGCCCAGCTCTAATTTTAAATTTTGATTATTAACTGTACTGGAGACTTGATATGTCACTTTCTTAAATAAGTGTCGCACAGCTGCATTCAACAAATGAGTTGCTAAAATAATTTAAATTGTTTTTTTTTACTGAACAAATTAATAAACGTAGTAATATAGTTACATGTGTGATGCATTATATTTCGTGTTCTATGAGTTCTATCAACCAAATGTTCAACATCATCCCCCACACTAACAATTACGTTAGGGCTTTGAAATTTTCCAATATGAATGGTGTTGTTATTCATGAACTTCACGTCATCAACCAAAAATTCTACACGAGTATTATTCATACATGACCCGTTCATCGTTATTTTGAGAACTCCTTTATCCCCTTCTTGTCCACCAGATTCATAATAAAAATTACTTTTATCCGTAATTATACATATTACGTCTTCATCATGTGCAGCACACTTTGATTTAATTATTTCTCCATTTTTAATTATGCCCAAAATTTGACTTTTTATAGGTTCAGTTTCATATTCTTCAATAACACTATTAAATTTATAATTATACTTAAAACTATCATCAGTATTTGAACACGTTTGGCTTAGTTTGGACATTGATTCTTCGAATTTTTTATGCATTTCGTCTCCTTGTGAATATAACAAAGATTTAGTTTTTTGTTTAACTTTTTGTAGTTCATTCTTGAAATCAGTCATATCAGTGTTTAACTGTTCTAACAAAGCTAGTTTTTGCATTGATTCTTCATTCAAACCATATGTATCATGCAGTTTGTATAAAAATGAACCAGGAATAGTGTTATCCGAAAATGAAGATTTCAAACTTTTTAATTCCTTATAAGCTTGGAAAAACCCGGGATTATCAATTAAATCAAAATCCCTTAAATCTTGTTCTTTTAAAATTCCTTGCAGTTCTCTTATAGAATTCAAACGTAACGCTTTGAATACTTCCTGTTCATGGTAAATTATTTCCAAAGTGTCATTTAGTTTAATATGCATTTCGGGGTAACTTGTGCCCAATATGTCGACTACAGTTGGCACAATTTTGTTTAATAAATCTTCATTTTTAAAAACCTGTTCTGAAATTTGAAAGCATGTTCGCATTATGCGTCGAAGTTTTTGGCTACAAATAACATATTTAGTATGTAAATAAATTATAAAAAAAAATAGCTTTACTTTTGATCGGGTAACATTCCATCAGATAAGCAAGCTGTTATCATTCTAGAATGATCTGCTAGTATTCTATAAGCTGTATCATAATTAGCTTCCTGAGTATTAAGTTGAAAAGAACCAGTATAAGCAGGAGCTTCCGTTTCCTCAAACGAAAAAAATATTAATTGTAAAATTTGTTTGTGATTGTAAAATCTATTAAATTACCTTGTTTATGGTATTGAAAATAGGATTAAATAAGTCAGTATCATAATTAGAAGATTTATTTTGCAAAATCGCACATAATCTTTCAAGTCCCATTCCAGTATCAATATGTTTTTTTGGTAGGTTAGTTACTGTGCCATCTTCTTCTCTATTGTATTGTATAAAAACAATGTTCCATAATTCAGTCAAATCGGACTGTCCAGCATTTACCAAATTTGACCGATTTCCTACGTTTAATAAATGATCAATATGAATTTCAGTGCAAGGGCCACAGGGCCCGGTTGCCCCCATTTCCCAAAAATTTTCGGACATTCCGAATGGTATTACTCGATTTTTCGGTACTCTGAAATAATTTTTGTTAGCTTTTCATAAAAATATTGATTTTCTTAGTATTTGTACCCCAAATCCCTCCATATTTCATAGCATTCCATATCAGCTGGAATGTTAAGTTTATCATTTCCAGCAAAATATGTAAAATATAAACGAGACATTTCTATACCGTATACGTTACGTAACAGATCTAAAGCCATTGTTTGTGCTTCTCTCTGAAATTAATTTTTTTAGTTTTGGAATACAATATTTGAAAAAAAATATATCCACTTACCTTAAAATAATCCCCAAATGACCAATTTCCAAGCATTTCGAAAAATGTATGATGATATCCATCAGTTCCAACTATCTGCAAGTCATTATGTTTACCACCAACACGAATACATTTTTGAGAGTTTACCACTTTGTCGTGTCTTGGAGTACTTTTCCCCAAAAAAATTGACTTAAACTAATAAAAATTTTAATGAGAAACAGAGCAAATTAAATTTTAGTGCTTTGGTAGTGAAATAGTATGTAGGCAAGACATTCTTTGAAAACAATTTCATACTAGTACCAAGTAAATCTATTGAACTACAAGTTTATGTAATTATAATCACAAATTTTAATGAAAAATTTTAACACCTAATTTATTTATAAATTACTTACTTGATTCATTCCGGCATTTACAAAAGCTACCGTGGGATCACAAAATGGTACCACAGGACTTGATCTTACAATTTTATGTTCCTGTTGAACAAAATATTCCAAAAAATTTTGACGAATTTCGCATGATTTTGTGTGCAAATATACTGAATTTTGAAAACAATGGCGATTAAAATGGCATATTTTGTAAAATCTCATCATTTTAGAATATTTTTAACTAATAAAATCTTATCTAAAAATTGCTGAAAATAGCAACCGGTTTTAACATTTGTCAAAATCACATGTTACTGCATCTTAGGAGCAAAATATTTTTTAATGCATATGTAAAAACATGTGCATAATTATTGAATTGTTTATAAATTTCTTTTACAGGTTTCTGCAAAGTCGAAACCAAATTTGATTACAAAGTCAAATTTACATTTTGACATTGTCAAAAGTGTAGGTAATTCGTTAGGTTTGCTGGGTTTTTAAATTAATTTTTTTTAACGAAATTTGATAAAATGGATCATTACCATTTTGACCGAATATTAAAAACTTCAATTAAATTGTCATATAACACCAGAAAGCAGAAAAAAAATTGCTTTTAAATTTAATTTACATCTCCTAATCAAAAAATTTTAGATTTCGAAAATAAGTTCAAGTGTTACTTATCAATTTTCTGTCATTCTATTACAAAATTGAATAATTTTGTCATTTTTTTTTTAAAATGAGCTTTAATAAAATATGTCATCATGCATCGAGAATATAACTGCTGTTGTTAAATTTGATTATTTTATTTTCTATAGTTGTTATAAGTTATTGAATTTGCTTTTTATTTTATTCATTTGTTGTTGAAAATGCATTGAATGAGAAGTAAAGGAAAATGCAAACGCCCCCATAAACACAGCTAATATACAAAAATAAACGTCAAAAAATTATGTTCGCAGTTACTAGCCCATTTGTTAACTGGTTAAATTCGAGAAACCTTTCATAATTCTTCTACTAAAGTTACTTAAAATTTTTTTAAATCAATAGATATTTTTCATTGTTTTATAAGATAAAATTTAATAAATAACATAAGTCGAAAAAATCATGTTTGTTGTTCAAAGATCTAACCGTTTATGTTCAACTGTAATTAGGTAAAAAATTTTTCTATGTACTTGGTACCGGTTCACTTGACAAGATTGCGTTTACGTAATAAGACGAAGAAAAAGTGATAGACGAAAATAATTTAATTTCATTCTAGAACTTCTCAAGTTCATGATCGATCATCAAAAATTAATCTATTAAAATATTTATTTGATTTTAGATTTGCAAGAATGAGCTCTGGAAATTTGGGAGATGGTGCTGGTAAAGGTGGTGGTGGTGGCGGAAGCATTCGCGAAGCTGGTGGTTCTTTCGGGAGAATGGAAGCTGCCAGAGAAGAAGAGTACTTTTATAAAAAAGTAATTTTTGATTAATCTTAAAATAAATTGTACCTAAAATATATCTATTATCTATTCCAGCAAAAAGAACAATTAAATAAACTTAAAAGCGAACAAATTCACCAAAAAGACTTCCATGAGCAACAAATCAGAGAACATGAGGAAGCTATTCGCCGTCATAAGGAGTATTTGAAGAATATTAAATAAACGTCGGAATTTATTGCTTTTAATTTTTCAGATAACGCGGCATTTAGTTTTCGCTTTTAACAGAATTATCAAATCTGCATCTTTAGAATTATAAATTAGTTTATTTTTTTATTTCACTCAATTAGATTTATCGTAACTCATAAAATATTGTTTGATTTTAACTTTTTCCTTCATTTTGTAAGCTGTGTTTTGTAAATGAAAAGCGATTAAATGTCTTAATAAAAATGAACTACCTATGAAATGATAATACTTGTGCTATAGGTACAAGATAGATAATTAAACTGAAATGAAATATGTCTAATTTGTCTTTTTTTCTGGAAGTTAGGCATCAAACAATAATTATTAATTCGTTTAAAATTTGTATTTTCCAAAATAGCTAATCTCCACATTATCGAATTTTTATTCTTCATATTACAAAACCTGACAGGTATACTTACCTACCAATAACATATTCACGCATCTTTGAATAAAATCAATTCCAAAATTCGAAATTCTAAACTAAAAAACAAAATTTTTTCAATAATATCCCATCAGCTCAAGTGATACGACTAGCAGAATTTGAGTGAACATGTATGTACATATGTATGTATGTACCTAACTAAGTAATTTATAATTTAAAGAAATTCATACTTAGTATTGAATGTGTATAACTTTAGTCAGCGTTTAATTTTATTTTATGAATAATTCTTATTATTTTCCTTTATTTTTAGATCTATTAATATATCAGTACATATAGCCTGTATACATGCATATATATATATGTACGTATATGTTATTCCTTTGTTTGAAGTACAAATTGGTATACCAATGCATTCCGAGGCCCGACTAGCATGTGTGCTCATTTGTAATGTCTATGTACATAGGTACATAATGCAATCTAGCTATTTTTAATGTATTTCTGAATAATGGGTTTGTAAAAACAGTGCACGCGTTATAAAAATAGCGCATATGGTGTATGCAATAAAGTATGTACATACATATTATGAAATTACAATTATGAAGTACAGTACTTATCTACTTGTTGTTTAAATAATATTTTATAGCAGAATTCTTGCTAGAAACTTGAAAATGCACGTTTGTATAAATCAATTCTCTCCAAACCAGGAGAGGTAGTACATTTAGCAAGCACACAAAAAATATGCATACATCCAAGTACATTTTGATAATGCACTACGAAATAACCCAAAAATGGCTTTTGACTATATAGATTAGTACACGGTGTAATTAAATTATGAAAACTCTTGATTTAAATTTTAGCAATTTTTTATTACCCTTTACTTGTCACGGAACTCAATGACCCACCGCAAGGATTAAGAAATTTTTTTATCTATTATTTTTTCAAATGAATGTAAGAAAGGAAAACGTTTTAAGGAATTCTGCGGTGCCTCGGTTGAGTGTTTTTATTGAAATATAACATAGTTAATCGTAAAAACTAAACATGAGTGTTGATTTAAGTTCATGCCAGAACGATTTTTTATATTATAAAATTGTTTTCAACTTAAAGAATCTCCAGGAAAGAAAATTTAACAAAATGTATGTATGCCAATTGCCACGTACTATAATGTAAAAACAAAGTAATTTGTAGAAGTTTTTTGTAAGTATTTTTATTTCAGTTTGAATATTTAGAATTTATTAATTGAATTGTTTAGCTTAACTGAGTAACGAATTCCATTAACAACAACAATCTTTCTTCCAAAAATTCGATTATCAATATTAAATATAGTGAAATGATAAAAGTGAAAAAATACAAAACTCTACTTAATTTATTTAACTACCGTTTCTATTTTAACATATTTGTGTGAATGTTAAAACTACTTCCATCATAAAGTAGCATTTACTATGGTTATGTTCAAATTTTTTACTAAATTTTATTAATGTGGAGGTTGTATGCAGTTTTACAATGCATCAAAAATTAATGTAATTTATCATATTATTGTACCTACATTCCATGTATAACGATATTATGAACTTCCAAATGACCTAAATTATCATACAAATGATGAAACTTGATAAAGTCAAACGAAAAATTGAGAATGTAGGTATAATGACCGAATGAAAAAATGAGCACATATGTACATGTGTATCTGTATGTGCCTAGATCGAAGCTGATTGATAACTTGAATAATGTGAAAATTATAATCCGATTTATTTTTTATTCATAGAAGCTTCATATGGCCTATACTATCTAAATATTAATAAAAGTATATCCGGATAAATGTCATTTTTATTTTATAAATTTGTCAATTGCATTAGGGGTCAATAAATTTTTTAATTTTTAAATTGTTACTTCTCTAAATGTATACATAATACTGTATGTATGTATGTACGTAGGTATGAAATTTGACTTTAAAATTCATTTTACACTTTTTGCCCCAAAATGTCTATGTATAACACTATGTTTCAAGAAATTAAAAAATATTGATAAAAAGATTATAAAAGAACGCTAACTTTTCATTGGATCTAGCTATAAATTTATTTTGTTCTATTTTTTTATTTACTTACATACCTACATATGTATACATATTTGTTTTCAATGTTCTTATTAATATTGCAATCAGTAGTCGAAGAGATTTTCATAGTAGAGGGCTAGAATATTTGAAAAATTATTTAATAGTGTTAAAATTAACTTTCTTGACATTTTTTTAAATTTTTCCAGTTCACAAATTAAATGTTCATCAAATTCAATAATTTAAGAATTTTTAACCATTAATTTAAAAACTAACATTTTTTTCTTAAGCAAATTTATTAAAAGTGGCTATTCAAAAAGGAAATTGTAAAATAAGTCTAGAACACAAAACCAAACCCGAAACAACCTATTTCCATTCAAAATTTAATTAAAATTGTCAAGTTGAATGCACGAAAATTTAAAAACTCCTTTCAGAGCTCTACAATTATTTCAGACACTCTTTTTAGAGTCAGGCTTTCCAGAATAATTTATAATCAAAGAAAGAGTAGTTTTAATAGAAGAGTTTTACGTATGTTACGGTTTTCGTGTTGGAAATAGAAAAAAGATTTAAAAAAACGAGTTTATGTGGAAGATCTTTTTGGAATTCAAACAAGTGAAATAAATGTGCAACAATGCTTCGAAACCTTATAAAATCTCAGCTTGCAAAAAAATTTTTTGCCTTGTGAATATAAATTAATAACAATCTTAATATAAAATTCTCTGCTCTTTAAAACTAATTCGGCCTAACCATTTTAATTTTTATTTAAAACCGAAAAATAAAAAAAACAATATTTCATTTACATAATTTTTTCACATCCTGATTAAATTTGATCGATTACGTTGTAATTGTACAATTTTGTGATCAATTCAAAATTTTCATTACATTTTTTTACTCATATTGAAATAATTTAATCCCAACCGAATCCATTCATCAACGACAGGAAGAAAAATATCAAATAACAAAGTGATCACGAAAATTCATTTTCTAAAGTTTTGCCTTATTTACTTTTGGTTTCATCTTGCTTTGAGTTTTCTGAACGAAGAGTTATAAAAAAAACACAACTCTAAATTTGTTTCAAGACTTTTTATGTGAAGCGTTTTTGTATAAAAATTATGAGAACCTGCTTTGAAATCTACTTTTTTTTTGCAGAATTTCAATTAGGATGTTAAGTATGTATTTCGTATGAAGTTTGCAATACACAAGTTTTTAAGTAAATAACATAAATTTTAGTAGATTCAACACCAATTTGACTGATTCAGAGATTGAAATTGTTTTGCTGATATACATATGTATGTATGTTAAGGAAGATGTTGAATTTAAACACTTGAAATTGCCACCATTCAAAAGAGGCTACACAGTGAAAATACAAAACAGATTCCCTTCCAGTATTATGATGTAAAAATAAATCTTAAGTATATGTACATACATACATATCAAGTTATTATTCTAAACTTTTCAAATTAGAATTCATAAGCTACATATTGGTACATCAAACATTCTTCAATGGCAAACTAATCATAACAAAAATTTGTTTCTTGTAGTAAACTCAAAAATCCTAACGATAATTTTTGATTTTAGTTTTTTAAAGGTTTAGGATGTAATTAAGTAAGCATGCAACATGTATTTGTGTATGAATAGCATACACAATATTCTTGCATAGAATAAAAATGTATATCTGTATGTTCTGACATGAAAAACTAAATATGTTTATGCTTAGTTTGTCTCAGAAGACACCTATAATCAGTTGACAACTTAATAATATGGTAAAGATGGCAATATTAAAGGTTCTGTTTAAAATAATTTCAGGATTATTTTTGACACAGGTAGTTAGTTTTTTTCTTATTCTTTATGGTAAAGGGATTTGTGTGGGATTATTACTTCTTTCTGCTCATTTTGTTTTTGTGCTTTTAATGTGTGATACACAAAATTATCACTTTTATGGGCACAGTCATTGGGAACTTAATTTTAAAACAATAATTTATTCTGATGACTGGTTCATAAAGATGATGAGGTTATGAATGAACAATTTCTTTTTCGAATCGATACGTTGCAATTCATTTTTGGTTCCTGGCCCTTCTAATCTCAACTACCAGAATCTTTTGTGTGTCACATAAAATTTGCAAATACATACATATGTACTTTGTATGTTCCACTGTGTTTAATACTTGAACATCAACATGTTGAATTGCCGGCCTGGAAAGCATATTGTTATATTAATATTACGAGTAAATTGAGGTTAAACATTTAAAATATTTATAGTTTATTAAGTTTTATAATATAAGTGAAAAATATTTCTGAGAAATTTTAAATTGAAACCAAACTTTTAAAGTCTATTGGATTGTAAAAACAATCAGTAATCATTAACAAAATCGTGTTTTCTATTAATAAATTTTTAATATCAATATCGATAACTTTGAACTAAAGTAAATTTCTTTTTTTTACATATTTACTAAAATTATTCTTTGAATCATAAATGCAATTCCCATAATAACATACTTAGTACTACAATTAAAAATCTGCGAAGAATTCCTTATTTTAAACGAAAAATACTATAATGGCAATTTATATTGATGATTGTTTGCTGCTGTAAGAGCTTAGGTACCAATTATAATTGTATAACCTTGTATCAAGATTAATGTCTTTGAACTTTAAGAGAAATACAATTTTTTTTTTTGTAGCCAAAAAAAATTGGCATTTTCAGGCTATTTACAAAAAGGCGAAAGGAATTTTTGAACTTTTATTTCAAATAACTGTGCTAAAAGATGCAAATGACGTTTTAAAAAATTTCTTTTATTTCATATGCGTTCTTCGTTTAACAGTCATAGATACAAGCTTAAAATTTGATCTAGTTTTG